AGAAAGAGCTTGCCCCTTTCAGCTTCAAGCCCTGGACATTGGCCACAGCCAGAGGTGGGAGAAAGGCTGGGAGAGGGGGTGCTGGTGCCCCCAGAGGTACTGAGAGACCTCCCAGGTGCAAGGACTGTGGGGGTTTTGCCTGCCTCTAGCATGGTGCATGGTCAGCTGTCTAGGTCTGTTTGAACACATCTTTCCCTGCCCCTGCCATGGCAAAGGTCTCAGTGCTCCTGTTGGGTGTCCCACTCCCATCCTGTGGCCCACAGTGGGCTAGTACTATGGTTACATATGTGGGTACACACACTATGAATGTCGGTTGACCATGGGCAATAGGCTATGCACTTGCCATATGACCACGTGTGCATCCCTTGTGAATGTATACCAGTGACTAAGGCCCACTATTGCTAGCAGGTGTTAGGCCCAGGAGATGGAGGGCTCTCCCAGATTTTAGTCCAAACAGCTGAGTGGATAAGGCAGTAGCCTGGAAAACTAGAGAACCAGGTTCTGGGCCCCCTTTACTTAAATAAGGTTTGAATTTGTAACTCTGTGACCTCCCAACACAGCACTCTAAGTCCAGAACTATACATAATGATGTTTTAGCTAAGCCTTTCTCTGATGTTCCTTTTGAAAGTGGCCCACTGGGCAGCCAAGAGAAGGAGATATGTGAAACCAAGAGGAGACAAACAAGCATGTGAGAAGACATGGGAGGGGGGAGGGACCTGGTTTCTAGTTTAGTTTTGCTCCCAGTGAGGCATAAATGTACCCCGCAGCCCTTCATTTATTTTTTCCAGTGACTATTAAATTGAAGGGGCAGTGGCTCAGCTTCAAAAGTGGCCAAAACATGCTACTTAGAAATCAAAAAGGATCACTTAGGAGACTAAAATGAAATCAAATGCCACCAAAATCTTCTCCATCTTCTTTATGATATCCTTTCAAATATTTGAAAATTGTTATCTTGTCCCCTTAATTTCTTGCTTGCATTCCAACCTCTTTATCATCTTTGTTACTCATCTTTGGACCCTGCCCAACTTCTCTTCATTCTTATTATAATGAAATACTCAAAACTGAGCACAGTACTCTTTTCAAGGCATAGCCAGAAATGAACAGACTGCTAGTCAGAGGTGGATTTTTTTTTTGGGGGTGGTGGTGCAGTGGTGAGTTGCACCCTTCCCCCTTTGATTCCTGGTTCACCCAAAGTTTAAAACCAACTGCCTGGCAGGAGCAGCAGAATTTCTATTCAAGCAGTGAGACAGGCAATTGATTCCATGGCTCATTGTAATCTACCTGATTCCTTCTAAAATCCTTGTTCTACAGGTATTAATGACCATCTCTCCTTTTAAACGGTCTTGATCAACTACAGGTATGGAATAAGAGGATAAAAAAAAATATGAAAGCAAAAAGAAATGAACATTCTAGTGGCCAAATCCTTACCCTACCATAAAGGGCTGATGCACCATGGCAAAGGTGGCAGTCTCAATCACCTACACACCAGATTTGGATGTTCCAAGAAACTAATGAAGAAGTGGGGCTATACAATTGGTTCAACTACCTGTGACTGCAGCACAGAGTCTCAGACTATGCAATACCTGCTGCAATGCCTACTGTTTGAAGGCACATGTACAATGAAACATCTCACAAAGTACAATAAATGAGCACACAAGCATGCATAACAAAATGGTCAAATGTGGTGTAGAAACATGAGAAGAAGAAGAAGAATGGTCTTGATATTTCACTAAGCCGGCTAACCTTCTTCTGCAATTCTGCTATCTATTAGCTGTTCCTCTTAATGTAATTCCTATTTCACATGCCTGCAGACTATTTTTTACTCTATCTAAAATTATCAGCTCAGGTGTGGAAAGCATTGGATGCACTGGCAAAATACTGAAGAAGGCTAGATTTGGTTTATGAATCTTCAAATATTCATTTAATTGTAGTTCTACCTAGCCCATATTTCCCAATGCTGCACAGGCAGGACTGCATGAAACCCAGCACACTTTTGTAGGTTCTAGTTCAACAAACGTCAGGCAATATGTCAGAACCTAAGGTTTTATCCATGTTGGGAACTGGGGACACATGGGTTAGAAATTTAATCTAAACTGAGAGAACATATTCAAGAAGAGTATACATTTAGTGACCATGTTTATTTTGTCCTTAAACTTAAAATTACAAAAGCTTTTTTTCAGTTTAGCATTTTTATGTTGTATATGAATGTTCATTAGGCACTTGAATATGACTGCATCTTATTTCTCTTTCCTTCCCAAGTCATTTTCAGATGGTAACAATGCTTTGCTGCTATTGACTTTATTAGATCTAAAATCAATACCATGGCTGCAAAAAACATTTTTCTATTATTAATTTATTAATCTTCTTTCACATTATTTTAATATGAGTCTTGAGTATGTGGTTCCCAGGCCACAATCTACAGAATACTTGTCTTCCAAAATCTGCTTTGTGAACAGCACTTAATTTGGCATCTGATCTATTAAAGTGAATGAATATTCTTAGGTAGTGATCTGACTGTTCCCATCTACTTCCATGAGTAGATCAGAGCCTTAACCAACACTTTCTAAGATTAAAAAATATTTTAATTATGTTTTCGTATGTATTTCCCAGTTATTCTTTGCTGAGAGGTCCTTATTATCATTTTAGACTACACACTGCTGCTCAGGGGAATTGGGTTCTGTGTTCCATTAAAAAAATTGTCCCATGTTGGAGTAAAATTATATTTCCTGTCGATTAAAACAGTTTAGTTCCTTTGAATCCTATAATCAATTTTTAGAGCCAGAAAGAACCGTTGGGCACTTTTATGCGTGCTCTGGGGGTGGAGGAGGCAACGCTTTAATTAGAGTGGCTCAGAGAGCTGCTGTAATTAAAGTATTGCAGCACCTCATGTATCAGTGTCCCCACACTTAAAAGTGGTAATGGGGGTGCTTAAACTAAAGCTTATTTGACAAGCTTTAGTCCAAGTGCCCCCACAACCATTTTTAAGCATGGGGATACTGATACACAAGAGACGGGAGGCTACTGGAGCGTGGTAATTCCCATGCTCCAGTCTGCCCTGACATACTGTAATTACTGTGCACTGGAACAGCCTCCATGCTCATGTACAGGCACCCATCATGTCTATCTAGTTTGATCATCTAACTTCTATAACAATGGACCAAAAATGTCCTCAAATCTTCCTGCATCTAACCCAGTTACCTATGGTTGAAAAAGTTTCCAGAGGTCATCTGTAGCAGCCTCCAACTTACAGAAGCCTCTAGATGCAGTCAGTATTGCAAGGATAATTAGCTCAGAAGAAGACAACTGATTTATGGATTTGAAATTCAAAATCCAGCTAACAAACTTGCTACAGAAAGCCAAAACCACAATAATGTAAAGGGATTTCAGTTCAGTTCAGTTAAAAATGAAGTAATTGGATTCTAACTTCTGAGGCCTTACTTTTGCATGAAAAATGAAAATAAGAGCCATGTTTTTTGCTAATCTCATTGAAAATTTGTAATTTAGAACTCTTCCAATTATAGGTAAAAACCTATTACTTGGCTTAAATTACATTTATAAAAGATGGGTACATTAAAAAAAGAGTTATTCCTCATTTTGTTCTATTTTATTTCATGGTGAATTACCTTGCAGATATGAAGGGACAGAAATGAAATTTCATATGTTTTGTAGAAATGCCAACAATGCCTTCCCCCCACCCGCAGAACAAGCTAAAGATAGCATAACTGATTATTTCAAAGTTGTATTTTCAAATATTACAGTTGTGTAAAATATGATAGTTGGGTAAATGAGGGTTGGATTTTGGATTAGTCAGAACATTCCTTCTCTCAAGCTCAGCAGCCCATAGAATTAATCTGGTTATGGCGTGACAGTTTCTGTAGCCAGGAAGCACACATTGCAGTCACATCACATCTGACCCCCTTTGACACCACAGCCCAGATGACCAAGTACACATTTAGAACTGAATCAAAAGGAGGTTGCCCTCGGCATGAGTCTCAAGTGAAACCTGGAACCATAGCAAGACAGCTTAATCACTGCCACCAGACTTCACATTTCTGGAGAAAGAAAATACCTGAGTTTCTGTTTGATTTTGATTAGGAAACAAAAGACAAGTTGCCTGCAAACATGTTGGAGTTTTAGAATCTTGGTCAAAATGTTTGAGGTGTTATAGGTTTGGAAACCTGGAATTCTTTTCTCCCTAAAGATATGTAAAAGAATACCCACCTCTCCAGATGACCAAGATAAAACCCACCATTCAGCAATCTTTCCGTTAAGTTGTATGGCAGAATATAAACAAACACGGGTTGTAGAAACAAACAGAATAGTTGTGGAAAAGCTTGGCACTTCCCCATCATTTTTGTGTTTTGACTGCCTTATCCCATCACAGCTCAAGCTGCTGCTGTCATCTTAGGTTCCAATCCTACGCAGACATGCAAACGATAAAATTTGCATACCACAAATAGTTCCATTGAAGTCGATGGGGTTATTGACAAGGGTTGATCTAAAACATGTGAAGTCAGTATCCTTTGGATCACTCACAGCATGTAAACTGTAACAACATGTATAAGTCTGCGTAGGGCTGGGACCTTATATTCGGTATTGCATTGTTCTTGGAATTATATGATTTCATTAGCTAATCTGATTTACTGACTTCTTTCTGCACTGACCTTATGACGTACAGTAAGACAATTTCCCCTATATTACTGTAGACTGGACCCCCCTGCAGCTGGGAAGACACTGCTGGGAAATCTGTAGTAAGGGAGTAGGTTGTGGGTGGCTGTTTATCAGCTCCACTCAACCATGGGACAACTTAGAGTTAGCATCCTGTTCTGGTTTCAGTAGGAAAGACGAGAATATGGTCATGATCTTTTAAATTTCCCTATGTAACAACATTAATTAGTGTGAACTTTACATTTTGAATTTTAGCTACATGGAAAACTTATTGAATGTTAGACAGCTCAGACTAATATTTTTATGGGAATAATGGACACATTTTCATTTACATGATCAAATCTTAATAGTGTCTCTACAGGTCTCATCTGGGCCAAAGCCCCTTGTGCCAGACATTGCATAAACACATTAAATAAATGATTTTGCTCCAGAGTCTAAGAGAAAGGACACCCCACATGGACGGAACAAGCAATATTCTTCCTTCCACCACATTCTGTCCTCAAATCAATGATTCTGTGAAAGTATGTGAAACTAGACTGTGAACACTAGATTCTTCCCAGTGGCAGCATCAGGAACAAAAGCATGCCCCTAATCAGGACTGCTGTCTGGCAGGCTGGCCTTCAGCTCATTCCTAAGAGCTGCCCTAATATGTACTGCTGATACACTGCTCCCAGTGGTTCATAGTAGAGGTGTAGAAATACCAGGGCATAAGAACATGCCACATATGGTAGCTCCTCCAAAATTTACATCATCCTCTGTCTCAGAAATATACACTTTCTAGAGCGACTGAAACACAGTCATTTTCCTGAAATGATGCCCATCACTCTGTACCATACCACCACAGCTGGGATCAACAGAGCTGCCCAAGTTTGACTTGCCTGTATATATGACAGAAGAAAGATGTTCCTTGTTAGGATATCTACTGACTCACAGCTTTTCAAATGGCCCCTGGACTTGCAAATTGAATTGTGTGGGACAGAGCTGCAGTGTATATTTTAAAAAACAATTTACTAATCAGACTTGTTTAAGGTGAAAGCATTATGCACCAAATTCTGATACTCCTACTGAAGGTCAGTAATATTCCAGCCCCTAACATCTACGAATCTTCTTTGCAGAGTTACCCCTATAACATTAATAGGGTTACTGCTGGACATGAAGGAGGAGACCCAAATCTGGGTTTATTTAAACATAAACTATAGGAAAGCTTGTCTGAACTTCACTTGTCTGCATTACAAATTGCATCAGTTTAATTTAAATTGCTTTTTAAAAAAGTTTATAGAAATTAATGCCACTTTCATTTGTTTTTAAGTTATTTTTTACCCATTTATCTTAAATCAGGAAGCAAATGATTTACGCTAAATTAAACAAAGCCAAGTATAAATTGATTTAAGAATATTCAGACAAGGAGTCTGCTCCAGTTTTAACTAAATCGTTTTAGAAATACACCTGCAGCTGAATTAGTGGGGCTCGTTATACAGTCAAGACACTTATTTCAGGCTGTTTTACCTTTAGAATCTATTTCTAAAATGAAGAGGTAACTAGTTTTGTATACAGTAGTGGGCTATCCCAGGCAGTCTTGCTTCTAAATGAGACAAGCTTTTCCAAGAAGAGATAAACAAAGAGAGTGCCAGTGCACAAAGCATTTGAAAAGCATCAGATGCATGAAATATTCAAACTTTCTGAACAACAGTTAGTCCTTTTTGA